TCCCGGGCTGAAGATCGCTGAAGATCACTTCCGACTCTAACCGGATCCAATAAAATTACAGGATCTCGTGTAACAAACCGAACGTGAAAAACAAAAATTTACTATGACAACTAACTTCCGACCTCTAAATAAAAGTTTTCAGCATGAAATTTTATTCATAGGACACGGGAATTTTTGAGATACTACGGACCCATATTTTTGGTCGGCAGCTCGACATAAGGGCACTCAAAAAAAATATTAGAGCTATCACCGAAATTTATAATCTGCTGAACTTGTTCTGGGATGAGGTCACCTCGCACTTCGCGTATTTCGCATTAAATAGCATGACTTGTGAGATGTTAGTTTTACCTCGAGGCACATCTTTAATCAAAACCAATTGTTTTAATAACTGTGAAACTAATGACTATCTAAAATTTGATTGGTTGTTATATTAAATTTCACCAGTTTCGCCACCATTCACCAAGAGCTTCACCAGTTTCAACAGTAGCTCTAAACTCAACCACTAAGCTTAAACTATTTTGTTATGAAGCCCAACTATCGAAACTGAAATTCAATAACAACTAGATATACTATTTTCAATTTCACCCTGATCGATATATAAAATTTTAAATATCTTACAAAAATCATCTTAATCGACCATTCATTTCATGATGGCCTCAGGCATAGTTTTAGATTTAACTTCACAGGTCTCAGAACTACAATCATTCAAAAGAACCATTTAAAGTCAATAGATATCAATTTTCTCACTTTTTGCATGATGATTTTTCAGAGCATTAGCCATCATGTCAAATCTTTTAACTTAGTGATTGAATCCGCTTGGAAGATCATAACCCAGGCGAATGGTGAGTAGACTTGTCAATTCAGAATCCATGTGTTGCCAATATGACAGCCAGAAATTTCGGTTTAAATTCAGGCCGCATTTAAGTGCAAATCTTTACCGCAAGTTCATCATCAAATTGATAATCAGAAGTCTTTGTCCACTTGACATCTTGTGAGGGCTAATCTGGATTGTGATCTAAATAGCAAAACCAATTACTTATAATTTCTAGTCAAATTTGCAAATCATTGGAAACTGTCTTTGCACTAGCGTTACCAGCCTAAAAAACTTCGCTGCCAATCAGATTTTAAGATTAGGTGCTACGCAAAAGAAACGCAAAAAAATTAAAACCACCAAAAATCGGCCATAACTCAACATTTTACCTAAAACCACCTTTTATGCATTAACAAACCGTTTTCATTGCAAAAAAAATTGGTATTAGACAGACTCTTCTTAACCTAAATTAATAGCAAACCTAACCTTAATCTAGCAGCGAAATTTTTTAGGTAAACAGTTATCATAGGACCAGATTCGGATCAAAAAAAGTCAAACGATCTGCAAATTTGACCAGTGTTATAAGTAATCGGTTCTGCTAAATAAAATTAACCCAGATGCTTGGCTGTTATAATACGACAGGGTGAAACCTGAGTCGCGAAATAGTGAAATCCGCTATAATCATCACATGAGGCTTTTATATAATAAAAAACATAAAAAGATTTTACCCTAACAACTCTGTTCCGTTATAATTATTTTTTCGTTTTATATAATTAATATATCATATGACGAATATGCGAAATCATGCGAATCAATATAGTATCTCAAAAAATTTTATAAAGTAACAGGTTGTCTGACATTACACTTGCCGCAAAATTTTATATGCTGTGCCAAAATATATAAACTAATGTTAATAATAAAAGTTACAACCAAAGAAATGGATATTAAATTTTGTGAAGCAGATGATAGTAAACTCAATAATTAAGCAATAGCTTTTTTTTTTTTTTTTATTAACAATAGCAAAAGTATTATGTATAAAGAAAAGGTCATACCAATCAATAACAGTATAATTAACCATAGCTGCCGCAACAAAATTGTCACGGCAGAGTAAAATCGCCACCACAAAAAGTTTCGAACATCCGTGACAAATATATCGAGCACCAAAAATTAATGCAATTTAAACAAATACAACCAAAAAAATTTAGACTTATAAAATAATAACGATAAGCAATAAATTAATTATTTTATTTATTTCGAATAAACTCAACAAACGTAATATTTATTAAAGCAGGAAAGTATTATGATTACAGTTTTTCTAGGTATTCGGAATATCCATTGCCTCTTAAAATGATTACGTATAATCCTCCAATTATGCAATGGCTCAAAGTTTTTATTAATACTATCGAGCCATTTGTTACTATTTGGATTCATTATGTTTTCTTCAATGATCTTATGTTGTTGCGTCCTGGATTTAGAATTATAAACCTTTTTGCTCAAATAAATAATCAGAGTTATAATCTTCCGGAAGAGCCTTAAAAATAAAATCTACAAGGTTTTCTGGTGCAATTGCATTTTCTTGATTAGTTTTTATAATTTTATTTCGACTTTCATTCTTTTTTTCGTTTCTTATTCGTTGAATAGTATGTTTATCAGTTATTGGATTTTATGTTTTAATAGATCGCTTTTAATTCTGAAGAATCAAAAAAAAAAACGCTTACTAAATCAATTATGATTTTCGAAACTTTTTATTGGCCCGCATTACATAATTATTTAATAATTTCTGGCCAGAATTTATTTTGTATCTTTTTCATTCCAAAAATAGAAATTTTCAAAGAAGTAGGCTGACGCAATGGTAAAGTTAGCCGGTAACAATTTTCACTTAATGGCGAATTCGATTTCATTAGTAAAATTTTGGCCAAATTTTTTGATCATCGCTCTTAGCCGATATGTCTTAATAGGGGTTTTGGCTGGGACAGGTTTGACTATAGATGCTGGTGAAACTGGTGAAATTCTGGTAAAACTGATGAAATTGGTGAAATTTAATATAATAGGCAATCAGATGTTAGATAGTCACCAGCTTCACCAGCACTATATCCTAAGGCATAGATTTAAATTATTAGGGTACAATCGAGTAATTGTAAATATAGAAAACTATGGAATTCAACTTAAAATTTTGTCTCTAGCTAAGGCCCATTCCGCTGATTCGCCATATGTAATAAACACTTACAAGAGCAAGACAGATTCTGTGCTACCTTCACGACTAGTGATGTCAACTTAATTAAATTAATTTGGTCATTTTAAAAGCCAATATTAAAATAATTTCGGTTTTGCAGATTTAAATATTGAAATTATTGCAAAATACAACAAATAACTTTTAGCATTATATTAGCTAAAATATAAATTATATGAAATAGTTTATGTTTTAATATACAGCATTGAACTATAATTAATACTCAATTCGCTATTGCTATTGCTGTATAAATTTGATTGTAATATTATTTTTTTCGGATGCTTAATATTATATTACTAATATCTATAAATCTATATAACTTTAAAATAAATTCATCGTTTATTTCAAACATTCGATTTATCAAGTTTTCCTTATTATAATCCATATTTCCAAGCCAATTATGGTTTTCTAAAATACTGTTATTTGTTGACACATTAACTTGCAAATGATTCGAATTCAAAGATTTATTATTCTAATAATTACGTTAATTAATATTAATTACGTATCACTATACAACGCTGTATATTTTTTTTGAATTTTTAATATTAAATTTAATTATGATATATTGCAATTTTCGCAAGTACTATAATTAACCTATTTTTGAGCAAAACCTATTTTGCATATTAAAATTAATTAACATCACTATTCACGACTTTCACGACCATGAGTTTTAAGATTTTACGTGATAAAAAGTGCTAAAAAAGCAATAACACTCTAAATTAAATTCCTTAAAAACTATTTATTAACAAAAAACATGTGTCTAATAAAATAATGCAATATTCGGGTTACTGAGATCGGTCTCTAAAATATATTAGGACTGGGTGAAAAACCGCTATGTAGATCAAGTTAGGGTAAAAGGGATTTCGCCTTCATGTGATCTACGTAGCGGATTTTACTAATCCACAGCGCGGGTTTCACCCTGTCGTAATATATTTACACACTAACTAATGAATAGGCTGGTGAAGTTTTATAAAAAAAAATCTGCAGTTCTTCAAATTAAAACCTGTAAGTAAAATTTTGACCTCACAAATATTGATCAATTAAGTTTCAACAAATATTGATGATTTTGATAAATTAATTTTCAACAAATATTCAATCTGGCCGAGGCCAACACTTGTGGTCAGGGTTCCCGTGATCTTGAAATTTGGTTGGGCAAAATCGTAAAATGTTTGTGGAGTTCAAAATTTTACTTACAGGTCTGAATCTGGCCGCACTCATATCTTTCTTTATATGGGGGTCCTTAAAGCCAGTTAAAGAAGTAGTGTTTTTGATGTTTTTGAGTTATGCAGTATGTAGATCAAATATATTACAAAATCTTTATGTCATTGTTTAATTCTGATTGGTCAATCACATGATAGGGATATTTATTGTTTTGATTGTTTTGATTGATATAAAATCTTGTTTACCGATTTTTTTATTTTTTTACTTCTTTTGAATCTAACAGTTTTTTGTTTTCAAAGGCAAGTAGAAATTCTCGTGTAAGGTCTACTGGTTCTAAAGGAGGAACCAATTAGGTTTCTTTATGAGTCGATAATGTCTGGTATATTGAACCCAACTCTTCGGTGGATTCTTTCTAGACATATTGGATCAGACTTCTAGAAAGATTCTTCCTGGTTGCCTTTTAGTATGTCGAACAGATTTTAAGAGTGATTTCGCTCGGTTGTCTCAATATATTATATTGGACTAGGCATCCTGATCTTATGTCCAATATCTCAGAGATATATTGAATAGGTTTCTTGAGGGCTGATAATCTTGTTCGTTGTCTCAATATGTCGAAAAACTTCATACTGGTAGATTTCTTTTGGTTGTTAGAACTTAGGATTGTTTCTATCTAGATATATTAGACTTTTGGAGGGTGAATCTTTTCTGATTATCGAGTAAAATTTCTATTATTGTTCTAACTTATTATTTATTTCAGATATTTCAGATATGGACTTAAATCGACACCTTTTCACCTATATGTCGACCTATTATTCTTCAGGATGGTCATTGCTCGGATTTTTTAAATATCTTTCAACCAATTCCAATAAAATATACAATGTTAATGATATTGTTGATACATTTAAATATTATTTAACAATCACATCAAATAATTTAAATGTATTTAAAGTAACTAGAGTCGCAGCTCAAAAAATTTCCCAAAATTTAAATGCAAAGGATCCAATAATTATTCAATTTCTTAATGACTATCGTCAAAGATTTATTTAAGTTAATTAATTATACATACTTTTATTTATTTATTTATTATTTATTACATATACAGTATATAATTAATTATATGATGATCTTAATGAAGACGCTAATGAACCTGTCAATGAACCTTCCAATGAACCCGCCAATGAGCCGTTCAATGTGCCAATCAATGAACCTGCCAATGAATTCGTTAATAAACTCGCCAATGAACTCGTTGCTGAACCAGGTCCAGTTTCCCAAGAAACAAACAAAAGGTTATATTTTTATTTGAAAAAGTGCAAATATAGTTATTGTATTATCGTTCAAATCTAATAAATTATATTTTTAGATCAAGTCCAATTCAGCATAATTTTAGTCATGATTTTTCCCACTTTCTTGACCAAAATCATCTGTGTGATGTAACCATTGAACTTGCTAATAGGCAAGAAGTCAAAGCACATGCTTTAATTCTTTGTGCTCGATCATTTTTTCGACAAATTTTGTCAATTGATAACACTGAACATTACAAGATCACGATCTTTGACGTTAATCCGATGGTTTTTAATGCCTTGTTAAGGTAAATATAATAATTATGATAAAAGTTTCTTAGATTTCTTAGACTGTATTTAAATTTCAATTAATTCGAGATTTTTTATATTATAATAGATATATGTATAGTGGGACACTTATTTTTGACAATCGGTTGAAAATGTTTGATTTATATATCGCAGCAGTCAAATTCGACCTTCAAGAAGTTGTGAGGTATATTAAGTCATCAACTTATTTTCAATAGGTATAGATTTGTTAGTATATTTCGACAAATTTAATTGATGCTTCATTGTTATTGATGCTTCGTTGGTTGTTGATGTTTAATTGTTGTTGAGATTGTTTGTGCTTATGATATAGTTTGTGCTTATTACATGGTTTTGACATGGTATATAAAGTTTAAGCTTTATCTATTTACAATTTAAATCAATTTGAATAAAGTCTGAAATTTATAAAATTTAGCTGTAGTGTAAATTGTTATATGTATTTCATATATTAAAAATCATATATATTTTCTAGCAAAATGGTATGCTATATCACAACAAGCATATTCTTCAAATTCAAGTACCCCCGAAAATTTTGGTTATTACTCCGTCAGTAATTAATTTATGTGTGCATAATCTCAACATTAAAGCAAGGTCTTACTATTATGAATAAAACACATGGAAAAATAATTTCAGGTAAAAATAAAAGAACAATAGGTTCACAATTGATGCATAACTAAACTGATCAAGATAACTAATGATCCTTTTTTCTCATACGTCTTCTTTTAAACTTAAAGTGTGGGAAATTTCTTCCAGAAGGTTGCTTTTTAGCATGTAGGACATACGTAATATAACACTTTACCTTAATACTACGTAAAAGTAACATACGACAAAATATTTTAAAAGTACAGCACACCTCTCTCTCAATCTTACTCCGCGATATCACGGTGATAAATCCAAACGATTGGAATACGATTGAGTTGCAAAAATATCTGCTTTATAGAACAAAGAAAAAGGACATTAAGATTACATTTCTTACTCTCAAAGATACTACGGCGATTTTTTTAAATACAGACATGCTACCTTTTCAAAAATCACTTGTTCAATACGTTTCTCCTGATCGACTCCATAACGGAAAAAAATGGCAAAGTCTTGGTGTTAAGCAATCTCCTAGATGGGAACACAACATGATTCACACTCCCGAACCTCACATCTTATTTTTAAGCGTGAAAAATGCTACCAACTCAAGTATGACATTCTACAAACTCAAGATGAATTGGTTGAGCAAGATAATCAGATTGTGCAGTATGAACAGGATCCAGTATCAATAAAATATCCAATATCAGCATCAGCATCAACGGGATGTGCAGTATCATCCTCAACAGAATATTCAATATCATCATCAAAATGTTCAGTATCATCAGAACGTTCAATATCATCATCAGAATGTGCAGTACCAACAAAATGTTCATTATCAACAAAATGTGCAATATCAACAAAACGTATAGTATCAATAATAGAGATGAAAAAAAAAAGGTTAGGTTTGATTTAGGTTCTAAAAATTTTTAGGTTCCCAATTTAAAAACCTATAAACCGGTTTTTATATAATAAATTCCAACCTACGTTAAAACTGGTTTGTCCATAATCAAATGTTAAAACCTGGGTCTTAATATCTTTATGCCACTTTATAATAGCATGAATTATTTTAATAAATGTGTTGGTTGGTTCGCCAATTTTGTTTTTTTTTTTAATAAAAAAAAGGTATAGCACGCCATAAAACATTTATGGCATAATAGACGATATTGCCGAATATGCGTAAATAGAATATCATTCTGCTGAAATCACACCACCTCGGAGCATTTCATTATCTTGGTAAACCTTCACTTCCTCTAGCAAGCATGTAGGTCAGGCCAATTCCACCGTGTCTTCAAAGATTAATAATCACAGAATAGTTACTAATGTCTGAAGGCTATTTTGTATGTAAATTTGATTCAACCCACTCATCAAAGACATACCCGTTACAATTCAAAAGATGTTTACTTAGAATCTAATCCTAAGTAGCAATCGTTAAAGATTTGAGAGTAAAAATTCGAAAATGAACATATTTTTGGTTTATCTTATACTAATATGCATGTGTTGTAGGCTAAACGAAACTTTCGTATTGAAACTTATTTTGTTTAAAAAAAAGTGATCTGTATTATAGTCTACTGGAAACATTTACATCAAAAAACATTTTCTTTATGTGAAACATCTCGTATTCTACGAAATTATGTAGTCAATAAAACTTTTAATTTATTAAAACATGGTAGTAGTACAGTATTTAATGTATTATTATTATAATGCAAAGACAACATACAGATATATGTCACTTAATCCCCAAAACAATCTATAAAATACAAAGTGCTATTCACTTAAAAAAAAATCAGATACACTAATTGTCCTCTGTTAAAAAAGTAAAACCTAGCAAACTGATACCAAAAAATATTCAATCCTAAAACTACATTCAGAAAATATTTACAGAACCCTGTACTTTTTTTTTTTTTTTTTTTTGAAAAAAAAGAAATTGGTATGTCAAATGTTTAATGATATTCTATAAAAAAAAAAAATGCAATTTTTTAATGCAAAAATATACTACAAAAAAATGTAGATAAATGCAGTTCAACCTTATACAATAGAAACGTTACAATCATTGTTTTGAATCACTGTTTCTTCTTTAACAGTTTTCGTCTCGCCAGTTAATTTGTTTACGGAAATAATTTTGTCAATATGATAATAGGCCAATTCACCTAATTCTGATTCATCCATACCCATTGCCTCAGATTCAGGGTCGGCACGAAGAGATAATCCAGGAATTTTATCCATTACAAATAAAATGAAATATGTCATAATGAACGAGTATCCCATACCAGTAGCAGAATCAGCAAGTTGATAGCCTAATTGAATAAAGTTTCCATCTAACCAACCACCTGGAATAACAGTCACACCATCAAGAGCGGCAATTGATTTTTGAGCAAATATACCAGTGAGGATATTTCCTACTAAACCACCGACACCATGAACTGCAAACACATCCAGAGCATCATCAAAATCGAAAATATGCTTTAAATGTACAGCAATATTACAGAAAAAGGCACCAATAACACCAAAAGCTACAGCAGCAGGTGTACCGACGAAACCGGATCCAGGAGTGATGGCAACAAGGCCAGCAACAGCACCAGAACAGAAACCAAGAGCGGATATTTTCTTTTCCAATCGATAATCCATTAAAACCCAAGTTAAACCACCAACAGAAGCAGCCAAATTTGTAACGGCACAAGCCATTGCAGCACGAGCATTTGCACCCAATGCAGAACCACCATTAAATCCGAACCAACCGAACCAAAGAAGAACACAACCAAGGACAGCATTTGCAATATTATGAGGTTTGAAATCAGTAGTACCATGACCATGGCGTTTACCAAGGATAATAGCATAAGCGAGAGCAGCACAACCTGAAGAGATATGAACAGGAGTACCACCAGCAAAATCCAAACCACCCATAACATTGACCCAACCATTTGAATTCCAAGACCAACAAGCGATGAAATCGTATACAAGGGTAGTCCAAACAAAGATAAAAACGATCTTTGGTAATATACGACCACGTTCAGCAGCAGAACCTAGAGCGAGAGCGGGAGTGATAGCTGCGAACATACATTGGTACATTGCGAATACGATTCTAGGTATTGGGGTTGACTGAGAATAAGGAGTCATATCTACGCCTCGGAAGAAAGCAAATTCAGCACTTCCAATGTATTTTGATGTTGAATTACCGAATGTTAAACTGTATCCTATTAACCACCACTAAAAATAATAAACAAAGAAATTTAATTTTTATGATGAATAAAGAAGGAGGGAAGAAGGAAGAAGGAAGAAGAAAGAAGAATTTACCTGAAATGAAACTACAGCGGCGGATAACACACTAAGCATAATAAGTGATAACGCATTTTTACTACGAGCCATACCACTGTAAAAGTAACCAACGCCAGGAATCATTATAAACACCAAGGCTGTTGATGTCATAACCCAGGCAATATCAGCACCAGGTATTGGCGCTGGTGATGATGTAGTAGTTGTATTTGTTTCGTTCGCAGACATGTTTATAAAAATACTAAAAAAAAGTGATAAATGTTAATAAGATTTAAAAAAAAAAATGGGCAAATTTATTTTGAAGAGAAAAGAAAGTTTACCAGTTAAAATATTAATTTAATCGACGTTTCGTGATTTGAGAATTCAATTAAATTAATTCAATTGAATTTTCTTGAGGGTGGGAAATGCAGGGATAAAATTACACGCCTTTATATAAAGTTTTTTTTCACTGATTACATCTTTGCTCATATATATATTTATATAAATATATAAATATATATATAATCTTAAATAGATTTTAAAGAGTGTAAATTTAAAACCTTTTTTTTTTTTTGTACAATCTATTTTTGTCAATAATAGGATCTACAATTTTATTTAATTTTAAATCTAGATTTGTTCATTCAAATAATCGAATTTTTATAAATGGATGGTCTTTGTATTTTTTTGACATTTAGGAGCCTAAATCAAATTTGGCTTATCTCTAATTTTGCCGTCGAGCAATTTTCGTTTGGAGTCGCACTAAAGAGGGTACGTAAATATTCAGGGATGGCGTGTCGGAAATTATTAATAGTCGCCTGTTAGCTCATTTCCTGATGAATTTGTATTTCCCATATTGATATTATTTGAGATACAAATGTTTTTTAAAAGGTAATATCAAATTATGTAAGTGTATCCAAAAGTTTGCATCTTTTAGAAAACGTGCCAAACAAAGATGCAAAGAAAACTTGTTTTGTGATCTTTGGAATCGAGATACAAAAAGAAACCGTAACAACCCGTTGTGCCCAAGGTAAACAGCACTGCATAATTGTCGGAATGATACGAGCTATTTATTCTAGAATTGGAATTTTGTAAAAGTGTGTAACATAACTTTTGTATTACTCGGAAAATTTTTTTAGTAATAAAATTCTAGAAAGTTGATCAGGATTTTTGATAAGATTTATTGATAATCGTAATTACCACGATTTTTAATTGGTGTATTATTAGAGAATTATTTCGCTACTTCGATATCAATATCGTCATCTTTAATCTGCTGACTCAGCATCTTAAGATCTTAATTTGTTTCACGACTAAACTACGAAAGGCTTTTTTATTAATTAATTTAGCACGAAAGTGATAGTTAGACGACAATATGGTATATATGCAAAATGCTTTGCATATAATAAACATAAAGACACAGTAAAGCTGTGTCAGTTATCAGATCCACTGGTGCTATGTTCATATTTGAAGAATTGTTTGCACAACAAATATTTATTTCTCTCCACACTATAACACGTTAGTTTCAAGTAAATACAGTACGTACACAGTTAATGAATACGAAATTAATCCCCGCGCGATGTAGTCAGGTTTAGTTATTGGATCATTTTTAATTCATCATATTGTTCCACCTACTAAAAAGCACGTAGATGAACTATCCTAATTTTGGAAATATTGTTCGAGCCGGAAAATCTCGGAAAACTAAGAAAACTAAGTGACCTTGAAGATCAAGTAATTTGTGCCTAGTAACCTAGTCTAATTCACAAGTCTAGATCTAAACCATGATTGGAATGAAAATATTTTGAATAGTTTTAAGTTCCAAAAGAACTTTTGTAAATAATGCCACTACTCTATTCAAAATATTAAAAATCTTAATGAGAACATCTGACGAAAATGAATTACACTTTGCATCGTTGCAATAAGCATATTGATATTCAAACGGAGAAATAATTTCATTGTGAAAAATTACGTATGTAGTGAAACATAAGATAAGAAAAAAAATCTATGTGCTTATGCACTTATGCATATACATATCTATGTGCATACGCATACATAATGATATCTCATTATCAAGTTATTTGATTTTTTATGATACTGTTTCTTTTTTAAATTTATTTTCACAAATATATTAATTTCGCCAAATTAAACCCAAATTTTAATTTAACACAGCACCCATATGCTTTCCACATTCATCCTCGATCTATTCATAACATGAATGTTTATTATCGTTAAATTATCCGGAATTAAAAAATTTAGAACTTCAAGCATGTGGAATGATTAATGCTACGTGCTAGTAGCCCATAAGCTGTTATCGGTATTCATCAGACGATCAGTGTTGATTGGCTGAAAAGCATCTGATCAATTGGGCGTAAATAAACTCTAAATAATAATAAGGATTGCACAAAAGAAATCACTAATGTACTATTAAATGCAAACCAATGCTAGTATTGATCATTATCGATAAAATCACCTAAATTTATGGGCTAGTTTTATCGCTATCATATCAAAGATGCGTACCAAATTTGTATAAACTTACGTCAAAAAGGTATTTATCATTCTTAATTGATTAGTAAGCGTTATAAGTGGTCGTCGTCTTTGATGTATAATAACTATGCTTATAATAACGATAATAGATCTCTAAAGACAATAGTTCGAAGTAACGGATATCCCAATTACCCGTTTACCCACGTATCATTATTTGCTATCCTTATCTGTTGTTTACTTTAGCGTCCCGACACATTTTGCCACTTAATCAGTAAGCATAAATGTTATTTTACATTCAATGGATTAGTAGATCAGACTTTTTACTTATTTTAGTACCTCATAATGCCATAAATAGTCATATGGCAACTACGTTGTGCAGCTATCTTATTCAAATCTGACGACCTCCCAATAGTGTACGAAACCTGTCCACTATGCATATCGGTTTCGAGAGGTTCAACAGTATATATATACATTCACAATATCCGAGTCTCATGTTTACGGTCCAGTTCACGTGGCTCTTCTAACGCCAGCCATCGGAGTATAACAATACCGATATTATGCTCTCTTTTCAATGGTTACAATATGCACAGCCTAATTTTTAAAAGTAGCAATGAGCAACTGTGATCGACAAAATTCTAGCCCGCATTATATATAATTTTGGCCAGAATTCATTTTAAGTTTTGAATTCCAAAAATGGAAATTTTTAAAGCTTGGGCTTGTTATAGAAGTGGGGAGTAATTAGTAAAATTGGGTTTTCATAATTTAAATTATACAAATCACTCTCATTAACATCAACCCCCTTAATACGTATCAACCTAAGTCCCAAGATAAATTTTATATATCAAAATTCCCTCATATATATAATAAGGGTTAAATCACCCTAATTAATTTCGCTGGCCAATCAGATTTCAGGATATTGTGTAACGCAAAAAAGTGCAAAAAAATCAAACCAATAAAAAAACTCTCGTAGCTCAAAATTTTGCCTATGAAAGTGCCTTCTACGTACTAACAAAAAAGTTCCTCGTGAAATTTTATTATAACCATAACCTTTTAAACGAAACATTAACCTGCTGGCGGTACCATAGCCCTAAACGAATTGTGAACCGATTTTTTTAATAAGATCGCATAGTCGAAATTTTTTAGGATGGTGATGCTAGACTTATACCTACATATCAACTTTAATATGATTTCCCGTTAATATCACTATTAACATAATTTAAAATCAATTCAAATAGGTTGATATTAACGAGAATGACCTGTATTAAAAATTAATTGAAACTAATAAAATATTTATTTGATATTTATTGTTGAAATTATTGTAGAAATTAAAAAAATTAAAAATAAATTTCTCTCATCTATAGGGTCTGTCCAATGCAGTAATTGTAAAATTAGCTCAGGAAACATTATTCACTTAATAGGCGGCCGCGTCATTAATAAAAATTTGGCTTAAATTTTTGATCGTCGGTCAAAATCGAGGATCATCCATGCGACATACGTATGCACTAATTTTAAAGGACAATCTTACTTGATATAGTAATTCATATAGGGTGTCCTGAAGCTTAAATTCATAAATTGTGTGATAATAAATTCGTAATCAGAAATAATAAATTTCATAAATCAAATAGTAAATTTGCTCAGAATTGCAATAGTAAAATCAATATGAATAATCCGATAGTAGTGGTACGGTGCAAATAATTTAAAAGCATCCAAAATGCTACTCTTCAGCAAATATTTGAAATTTCGTAAAAACAATACTTTATAGTTCTGTATGAAATCCGTCTAGTTAAGTATCATTTTTACAATGTTTCGAATATTTGCCAAGTAGTAGCGATTTTAGAAAACAACTTTATGAAAATTCATAATCAGCATGGTGTTGTTTGGTTACCGAGAATCACCAAAATTTATATTTGGCATTCTAAATTATATCTACGTTCCGATAATTTTGTAATTATAACGATAACATAACATACATAGTTCATTATTCTTTTCCTTTATTTATTTTATTTTTTTTCTTTAAAATAAAAACTTTTTCGATATTATTGTGTTGAAATTATCAAATATTATTTTAGTTCAAGGCAGAATCTCAAAAAGGAAATTTGGATACTATTGGTGAAGCTATAACGAAGAGAATATTTAAAAAATATACCTAAAGTGCAAATGCTAACCCAAAAAGACATTAAAAAAATTTGTAATAATTGTAGTAAATATGTACTAATAAACGAATCAGTTTAATAAAGGGCGCCCAGTTGTGAAATAAAGCGCTTAACGTTTTAAATAACATGCTTTTAGCGACTAAATAAAAGATTAAACATTTCAAATTTTATAATTACTTCACCAGTAATACGGTGACCATATCTTCACAATTTTGAATAGAGTGAATAGCTTTGATGCAATAAGTCCCAATCAAATCTCAATGTGAATATTTAATAAATGGTGTATATATTGTGGAAAGCCAACAGAATCCAAGCAAATTGGTTTTATTAAAATTTTTCTTGAACTTTAAACTTAAATATCTCAACAAAATCTTAATCAATTTCGATAATATAGTATTTATTTTAATTCTACAAGCTTGTGGAATTAAAATAAATACTAAATTATCGAATTTGATTAAGATTTTGTTGAGATATTCAAGTTTAAAGTTCAAGAAAAATTTTAATAAAACCAATTTTCTTGGATTCTGTTGACTTCTTCATTATATAAAATTTATTGTTATATTAAACCTTTTTTTATAATAAATTTATTAAAAAAAAACTTTTACAATGAAAAAACAA